ATTTGATGAATGATATACATTTGTCTCGAGTGCGAGCCAATCCCCCCGCGGTTGCCCCGCCACCCTCCCTCCTTGCCTCCTTAACCCTCCCGTGGGCCTTGGCCTGCCACAGAGATTGCCGCAAGTCGGCCGGTAATTGTTGTGGATTGCAGCTGGGAGAGGACAGGGTCCGAGGAGTCCGAAGACCGATCGCCTGGAAATATTTGCACAGACGAGTTGGGACCCCTTCATACACACACACACACACACACTCGCACATACATCAGCTCCGGCTGATCTGGATCTCGACTCGACTTGGGCTATATAATTTTGCTTAGCTGCAATTATGAGATGTGCCGGGCTGATCTTGAGCTGAAAGCCAGCAGAAGAGGGGTGCACACACACTCACACACTCAAGCACACACACATTGAGGGGCAGAAGAAACCTGAACTCCACCGGAAGCTTCGTCTTCTGTGCGCGGGTCTTTTGTGAATCAAAAGCAGAGCAGAGGCAGCAAAAAGTCGGCAGAGAAGAATAACTCGTTCTTACGGTTATCTGTTGGTTTTACAAGTGCCTCGAGTGCTGCAGAAGAAGAAGAAGAAGAATACCCCTGCACCATTCTTCGTGCGTCTGGCAGATGCCAACATACAACATCCAACATCCTTAATTATGACAATCATCCCAGCTTGATGTTCATTTCTTGACTTGGTTTTGTTTTCTCCCCGTTTGCTGATCTCCGATCCAGATCGGTTGTATCCGCCAAGTGTGTTTGTGTTGCCATGGGGTCACTTCTTCTCGATACAATCACTATGGGAGAAGGCGAAAAGGAGATCGCAGTAAGAGATCTTTGGCACAGTTTTCGAAAAACACTTCGGAATGCCGTGCACTGGGGGTTGAATCGCTGCCAGGATGGGAACCAAGTGGGGGAGATCGTTTCACTCGAGGTAGGGAGCGTGAGAGCTTTGTTCTTTTTCAGCCAGTCAGTCGGTGTTCTTATGACGATTCCGGGTGATTCGGATCGGATCGGTTGAAAGTTATGGCTGGTCGCGGAAGATATAATTATTGCCAACGAATATTTCATTCATTGTTTATGTCTTTCTTTTGCAAGGGTATGCCATTATTTTAGGGAAACATTCTGAGCACATAAATGGTTAAACTCAGCGAATAATAAGTAAAGGGTGATAATAAAATTATGGTAATTAAATGTTTATCATTTAAGATATACATAGGTAATTTCTTTTTCTCTCTCTGGCTTCTTGCAAAGAAAAACGAAATGAAGTTAAGTTTTTATTGAAAAAAACATCTCTATTACTATTCCAAAGTGAAAAGATTGTAGATCTCCTTGAAGTGGCTGCCAATTAACACCCAAGCAATTACTGGGTATTCAATACTAACTCAAGGAGATATTCAAAATTTTCTCTAAAGCCTCATTCGTACCCAATGTCAAAGATCACTTTTACTTCACTAAGCCCGCAATCCAACACGATCTCTGACCCTTGACCCGACCAGAATTTTCTAACCGATCACTTTCGCTCTCGGACAGGCAGACCCCAATTACACAACCAGCTGATTGATTACGCGGCAACGGCAGCGACAGCTGCACAATTAAAAGCTCAGCTTTCACCCCAGGGCCTGTGGCCAGCCACTAATTACTTTCACTGGACCGGGCCCGTCATCAAAGCCAACTTGCAAATAAGCCAAGTCAAAGTCAGAGGCGCAGTTACAACTCGAGCACGCAGCCGGACTTTGGTTATCATCGTCATCATCATCATCGCAGGGGGCCAAAAGGTTAATATGGCAATTAGCCAACTTAACCAAAAGAAAGCCGAGCCAAAAAAGCAGGCAATGCCGGGAAAAGCCGAATTCTCTGGCGATTAGCAGAGCCATAGCTTTCATAGCTTGTAGATGCGATAACTTTCAAATGCGATTAGGGTCGATGAGTTGCCAACTGAATCCAAATCGACAGGTTCTAACAAATGATGATTCTCTTTTGGTTTCTCTCGTTATTCTTTTATTTTTTTTTTTTTTTACTGAGGATGAGCCATCGGAGCCCAGAACGGATGCCGGTATCCACAAGATACTTTTGAAAGTATCTCAACAGGTTCACGCCTCTATCGAAATCTCAGACACACATTAAATGTAATTTTCGAACGAAAAAATGGTTGGGGAAACGGGCCGAAAGAAAACCTTTCAAGCCCGAACCACTTGTAAGTGGTACATCAAATATTTCCAACAGTTTTTCAAGTGTTTATGATGGGGAGTGAGGAGCATTGGTTTTGGCATGATTACCGCAAGTAAACTATCTCTCGCTGCTGGAAGTATCTTGTGGAACGGGCTGCTGGTTTTTAAACCTCTGTGCCGGTGTCGGTTTTGTTTTCCCTTCTTGTGTTGTGTTTTTTGTTTTTTTTTTTGTGTTTTTCTTTTTTATGAAGATGAATTTCTTTTTTATGAGCGATTTGGACGTGCCTGCCGCTCGGTATCCCCTGCTGTTTTGTAGCTCCAATTACCTCAGAGCTCGCTTGATTGATTCCGCCGCGGCGCAACGAGTTCAATATCAAGGCAAGTTCAGCTTCAATAGGCCCACCGGCTAATCCAAAGCTGAGCACCTTTTGTCATAAGCTTCAACAATACGTCATCATTGGTTTACCTTCAATCGACCCAAATCCACAAAAAAACTCAAAAAAAAAATACAGAAAACAGATAGAGAACCAATGACAAATCCGTTCAACAAGTGACACTCGAGCCGATCTCTTAGAGCCGGAACACCTGTTGAGGGCTTCTGCTTACATCAATGCCAGCATCCAATCTTTATCTGCGGCTCATCAAGCGGCTCGCATTTGCATACAATTCCCATCGATGCGTATTTCCTATATATATCATTTTCCCCTATCGCCCAGTGACAATCTGGTGGGCATAAATCAGGGGACCGCATCTCAGCTTAGATCTCCAGTATATAAATTTAAATTAGCCAGTTCAACTTTTACCCCAGTCAGCCGCACTGGCAGGTGATTTAGCACTTGGAATATGCAAAGAATCGCTTTGCAGGTGTTTCAATGCCGAAAACGAGTTTACATGCGACTTGACTTATTTGCCTGCTAATTTCTGGTTATTTATGCGACCGAAGCCGTTGAAAAAAGTCAAACAATAGACGGCATTTGGCTTTTGGGTGGGGCTCAAAGTTGGCTTGCGGATTTGTTTACTTTGGCTGTGAGCGCGCTTTTCGGGCTGCCTTTTTGTGGGTCCATTGTTTGCCCGACAACATGACAATTACACGTTAAGAATTCTCGAAAAACAAATTGCGTTGTCAGCTTTTGGTTAGACGTAATCAGCATGGCAAATTATGGAATTATTTCCACCTGGAATTGAGCACCTGAAGGTCGCCGCTATTATTTATTCACTTAGTCAAGTGCACGTTTAAATTATGGCTAAGGTGATCTCAGACAAAATGTAGAAACCCAAAATAATTACTTTCGCGAAATCAAGTTTCGGTTGTTCCTTACCAGACTTATGTATGATGTCAGAGAATTATTTGAATGTGCTGGAAATAATCTTTTCTCCATCTTCAAATTGCTTTTTGCAAAGGTTAGATTTAGCAATTATTTTCAGATGTGCACGTATTAATGAATGCAAGAAATTACCAAATCAATTTAAATGATAATCTCAGATTGAAGATCTATAAGTCAACAAAATTATTTTTACGACTTATTGGTAAAGAAAACTTTATTTCACTACTACTGATGGAATGAATATATGTTACATTTGCTTTTTCTAAAAACTGAAAAGCATTTGTTGTTGTTTTGCGGTTGCAGCCCACGAAATACTTTCAAGTGGTTTATAGCCCCAGGATTTCCAACGATGGAATCCTCTCGAAAGACTACAAAGGATACTCTAAAAGTTGACGGCGGCTGGTTCGGTATTTTTAAAGGAAAAAGTTGGAAGAGAGGAAAGGCCTGTTTGTTATTTACCGACAACTTTATGGCCACATGTCGACGACAACAAAAACGGCGAATTCTCATCATAAACAATGTGAGCAAAGCAAAAAAAAAGCCACGAATTTGTTGCTTAAATTTTTGCCTCTCGCTTTTTTTTTTTTGTTTTTGTTGACGCGCATGTGTGAAAAATAAGCAAGTCGCCGAGCTGGGCCCCCAAGTAATGTGGGGGGTGTGGTCGTCAGCTCCAGCGACATTCACGAATTTTTTCCATTTGGGATTTTCTTCATTTTTTTCCTGTTTTTGTGGGGAAAAGCGCCGCCACGGCGTCTATTTAATGAAGTGCCAGAGCGCCGACGATTTTCAGGGACGGACGCGGCAGCTCGACATTTTTTGTGTGTGCGGCGAGTGTGTGGATAGTGTGAATTTTCACATCAAGCCTCCTGCAATTTTTGGGCTGGCATAAAGCGATTGCACCTGGCTAAACCGGGCTGAGCCAAGTTGAGTTATCTCGTGTGCTGAAGGTGCCAACGGCCCAGTTAACAGTTGGGTGGAGGTGGAGTTGATTTAAGTACGGATTGAATGGGGTTAGTGGGCTCGTGTTCAAGGCGAGGCACGTTTAGTGCTACTTAAGAGTCGGTTTTAAAGCTCTGAATACAAAGAAGATTGTCCACTAACAGAGGAGTTATGTCTTAATTACATACGTTTGAGTACGTACTAAAATAGGTATTAAAAGTATCCGAGATAAAATGCACTTTACCAAATAATTTCATTATTTTTTTAACAAATAATAATAAACGCAGATAGTTTAGGATTTCCATTACCAACTTTTTGAGCTCATTTGGGCTGGGGAAGTCGTGTTTTAAGATTATTTTGTTTATTGATTTTTTTTAAATAATAATAGTTTCCAACTAGACATTTCCCAATATCTCTCGATCTTCTCCCACCCAGAGCTCTCAAAACCCCTCGAAAATAGATCCAACAGGCTGACACATGTGCGAGATCATGCCGACTTAACCTAAGCCCCCGTTTTAAAGCTCTTTAATCCAACGAATCGCATCGACTCGAGGGCCATTCATCCGAGCACTTACCCGCTAACACATGTGTATCCAATCACTCTCTGCCCCACTGACGTTCTGCCGGTATAATCTGTAATGAAGAGCAAACATATAAATTTAATAAGCTGTCACATAAATTTTCCGCTCTCTCATGAGCACTTAAATCTATATACTATGCCCAGCCGAAAAATCATTGGAGCTGAACACTAAATTAGATAGAGAGCCAGCGAAAAAAAATGAGAACCTAAAAATAGTGGACAGCGAACAGAAGGCGGGGAAAATCTGAAACGAATTAAATCCACTTAAAAACTGTTGCCAATGGCAAAACGAAAATGTTTTGGCATCTGTTTCGATTTAAAGGATTGAGTGGAAATTGAATACTTTCCCAAGAACGCTGACTAAGTGAAAATTAATAGCCGAGAAAACCCCTACGAAAAAAACAGAGAGAGGGGCGAACAGGAAAACTTTCACTGGAAACCGTAACAAGAAACTTGAAATGACTTTTTGAACTGTGAACCATGAACATGGAGTTATCGAAGGCCCTTGAGTGCCGCGGATTGGAGTGTGTGGATTGTGAATGTTCGACTAGACGCATCATAAATATTTGAAATGTGTCGCCGTAACTGACACGATGATGGTTCCATCGGGGGATCTGCTCAGCAGAGGAGGGGATCGAGGGGCAACCAGCATGCATGCCACATGGCAGCAACAACATTTTGACACACTTAAGTGTCGGACAGCCCCCATCATCAGCGGTCTGATCACCGCCGATCCTCAAGCGGCTGGAAGCGAAGATGTGCGACAATAAATTTGGAAATTATGAACATAATTCTTCATTAACAGCGCCTCCGTGTGTCCATTGATAAATTGGAAAACCCGATAGAGCAGAGGCGGCTCCCCAGCGTTTTTCCGCCCTGCCCCTCATTCTGAATTCGAAACGAAAGTGAAATGTGAACTTCCCACATTTGCTTTCGTTTCATGTGGCAAGTCGGTGGGTTGCAAACGGAACTCTCTGGGCTTTGGGATCCCGGGTCCAATGGCCAGTGATAAATTGGCGATATTACGGCAGCAGATTATTCAAATTTCTGCCCGTGGGCGTTAACCCACAAAAAAGGCATTTGGAGAATGCCAAACCAGGCCAGGCCAGAGATAGACCCATTTCTGATAGCGACCAACGATTGTGTGGCATTCAAATTGAAATAACGTGATTTTTGTGGTCCACTGGCCGTCGGTTGTTTGGAATTGGAGAAGGTGGTTGACATAGATTTTTTCCCTCGCTGGCTATTGTTTTGCGGTTTTGCGCAGATTTCTGGGCTTGCCCAAATCGAAACGCACTTTTTTCCCTTCATTATTTAGTGGGCGTTGGCGCGACTTTCTGCCAGTTTAGTATTGTTTTTGTATGTCCCCAGGGGAACTAAATGGCATTGAGCAGAGGTGACTTTCGTATGATTAAAATATTAAAAAGCTTCGAAACAACATATATAATAAAAAAAAGAATTTGTTCAGTTTTTAGTTATATAATTTCCTAATAAATTTAATTTCCAAGAAAACTAGCTTTAATATTTTTTAATAAAATAAAAAACAATATTATATATTTTTTAATAAAATAAAAAACAATATTATATATTTTTTAATAAAATAAAAAACAATGTTATACATCTCTCCCCGACGGGGAATTGAACCCCGGTCTCCCGCGTGACAGGCGGGGATACTAACCACTATACTATCGAGGATGTTAATCACCGTTCGCCCAAACGTATTTATAGCTTTAAGCAAAATTCTTATCTGTGAAGTGGAATATAAATAAATAAACGAAAAAAAAAATGAGAACTCAAACAAATAAATTTTATAGAAAAGCTGACCAATTAAAAAGGCAATTTGGTTTGGCTATCGCCCGTGACAGCTTTGAACAATTTAATTTCCAGATTTTTTGTGATTACTGATCCGGATTTTTCACATATCTTATACATTTTCCAGCGCAATCAATTGATTTTAATGCGTTTGCAGCATAGTAATCGCTGCTGCTCCACTTTATCGGGCATACCAGAGCGCGTTCTCTCTTTTTTTTTCTGGGGCCCCCGAGACCGGCCGTAAAATGCAGCCGGGAGTGGGTCTGTCCCACAGCGGTTTCGAAATCGTTCCCACCTCATAACAGCCGCCAGGTGAGTGCGCCCCTTCACCACTCCACAATACTCCAGTTCGCTCCACAAGCCGCATGCAACACGCGTTCGGCTTTCACAGCCCAATTCACTTGCCGCAAAAACCGCAAGGTGCGTTGTTATAGTTGCTCAAAAGCATTCAAAGCGAAAAATGCCAGCACAGAAACACAAAAGCAAAAGCAATTACGCAAGCAACGTGGATTGCAACGCGATCTATTTCGATATCTTCTGTACAAAAAGTTTTATCTGTGGAAAATATATTTCACTTTTGAAGTTTCTTGTTTGAAAGTAGTAAATTGAGTGTTCTATTTCTTGTTTATTAAGCTAAAAATATTACTTTAAAACTTTAACTTTTAAATTGTTTACAACACCATTACATTTTTTTTAAAATCTTTTTTAAATATACATATATAAATTGAAACAAATTTGCAAAGATTTGAAGAAATTTTTAAAGTGAAAATATTTTGTGGTTGCTTTAGCCATGAACAATATTGATTATTAACGAATAGATTTGATAAATTGTTTATATTTTTTAGAACGTCTCCTTTTCCCCAACCATCACTGTACAGAAATCGATTCAAGAAAAAAATTCTTATGTTGAAATTCCGTTTGGTATAATACTTTGAAAAGCAGAAAATAACCCTTCATGTCCGGCAGAGTATGTGTGATCTGTGGCGAGGAGCCGCCTTTGAAGGATCAGCAGGGCAACGAGGCGTATGCGTATCCCAAGACCACGGAGGAGGCCAGGATCTGGCAGGCCAGCATGGCGGCCAAGAACTGCTGCCTCGAGAGCATCCAGAAGCAGTGCTGCGTCTGCGTGGAGCACATTCCAGACTTCGTGAAGCGGGCCAAAAAAATCGGAAGGAGGCTGAAAAACTTCGAGCGGGAAAAAGATCAGCCGCTCAAAGAAAAAGCGACGGCAGAGGCGGCTGTGGGCTGCCAGTGTCCTGATAAAGGAGAGCCAGGCTTGGAGCGTCCTTCGGTCAATGTCCTTCTCCTGAACGGAGCTTCACTGCCCACGTATTGCGGCCAGGGGCAGCCCTGCGCGGATTTGGGATCACAGCCAGGGAAAGAGGGTAACTCCGAAGTGAAGAAGACCAAGCGGTTAAATCCCAAGGAATCGGACACGGAGATCTTTGTGCAGGAGTCGGAATTTAAGGACACCGGTGGAACCTTTCCGGATATCGACGGGACCGAGGTCACCCGACTGCGTACTCCCATGCAGGAGGAGGAGCAGCTGGAGAAGATTCAGAAAGCCCTTCGGGATGCGGAACAGGAAAAGGACCCGAGTGTCAGGTGAGGAAAGTTAATGTCTTATATGCGATTGGGTTTCAGTGTTTATTCACAAGGATTTCTTACCCCAAAAAAAAAAATTATTATTATTATAAATTAAATTACAATATTATTATAAGCTTTAAATAATGTAATTTTAAAATTTTCTAGGGAGTCTAATTTTTTTCTAACTAATTCTCATGTTTTTTGACTAGAATGTTTTTTTGTCTGTTTTTTATATCTTCCTTCTGACTTTTAGGAAATGCCGCAACAGCTGCCTGCCGGGCTGCACGGACGTCCTTCTCCTGGGCCGCGGTCACCATCCCACGGACGAGTGTCCCTGCAAGTGCGACCAGTGCACGAGGCCGCCCGCTCTGCCAGAGAACGGAGAGCCCTGCTGCCAACCGGAGTGCTGTGAGGACTACCAGCCGGAGTACTTCACCCAACCGCCGTGTGGCTGCGAGTGCGAACAGCAGGTGCGCCGGGAACTCACAAAGGTGATCAAGTCGCAGGCGCAAAAGATTCGGGAGCTGGAGAAGATGCTCTGCAGGCAGAATAATCTGCGCAACTGTTTGCAGAAGAAACTGGACGAGTTGTACTGCGAGTTCGGCCGCTTGGACGAGGATGCAGACAATCGATCGAGGCTAAGCTGCCCGGATAGTGACCGTGGCGCCCCCGATTGCTACTCCGTGTTGCATCCACCACCACCGCCACCACCTCCGGAACCTGAAATAGTAATTCACGAGCGCAGAAAAACCAAGCAGAACCGCAAAATAACGGTGATGAAGGCCAATCGCGAGATGGAACTCTCTAAACAAAAAGAGGAACCTTTGGCGGAAGAAAGAGGCGAACGGGTCCACTGGTTCGCGGAGAGAAAAAAGGACACCGACAAACGCACCAATATTCCTTTGTGGACCCAGAGGAGAGAAGCAGAAAAGATTGATTCGGGAAGCAAGATCTCAATCCGATTTGGGCAGAACAACACCTATATAGTGCCAGTGGAAAACGATTCCCTATCCACTTACTCCCTCTCGAACTCCAGGCACTCGAAGCACTCCAGCTCCAGTGTTTCCATGTCCAACAGATCCCGTACTTGATGTTCCCGTCAGACATCCGTATATACAAGTATATCCCCCCCTTTTGACAACCCCACTGTCCTGTGCAATCATGCAAATAAAAATATATTCTTTTTTCCGGCTCTGTGCAAATGTTTTTAACCCAAATATTTTGTAGACATGCAACATTTATGTAGACAGGCTGCAAACAATTTGCAGCTGAGTGAGCGACGGAGCACTGAGCAAAAAACCAGTTTTCGATTCCACTGTGACAATAGCTCCTCGAAATCCACTTTTTATAGAGCAAGTGTTTTGTGCATAACGTATTATATGGAAAATCAAGCAGCTGCAAACGCCACATTTTATGAAACGTAAGCACTTTGCATAATTGTTTCTTGAATTAAATCAATTTAATACGGCAAATATATGAATAACAAGAAGCATGCAAATACCTTGCATTTTAATTATTACTGGTTTAATAAAATATATAAATAAATTAAATATTGGAAATAGATGATAATTTGTTTAAAATATATTTTTTTATAAAAAAAATACCCAGGTAAAATGTAATATTTTCAGTGACAGTAAAGAAGGAGGAACTTAAATGGAGAGCTGAGACCCACTCTCCGGCTCAATGCGAACCACTCGAACACCCCTCGACGACGACAGCTGCGTGCAAATTGTTGCCATTTTATGGCATTTCAGTGCAAACGAATGCAGCTGTCCCTCCCCTCATCCCCTCACCCCCTCAGCATTTTAACCCCCCACCCACGTCGCAATGGAACCTCCCGCCTGCAATTTAGGGAGCAATTTTCGCTTGCTATTCTAAATGTTCATAAACACATTAAAATGATAATTAAAAGAAAATTTCGCTCTCTTTTCATTTTTCGCACATCAGCGGCAAAGTTAATGCTGCAGTGTTGCATCTGCATTATTTATTTATTATGTATGCAAATGCATTTAATTGCGTGGCGGAGGAAGAGCGAGCGGACAGAAATGCTGCAGGCGAGAGGCAACGTCAAACAATTTGCATATTTTAGCATGTAATGAAATTTGTAATAATTCTGCAATTAATTGCGTACGTGTCCTTGTTTATAGTCCACGTAGCCGTAGTTGGATGGCATGGGAGTCCAGTTTCATTTTCAGTTTGTGTGGGTTTTTGGCTTTTCGCCCCAAGGGCCATGGAAACACAACGCGAAGTTGTGTGCCGGGCATTAATGTTTACGTTTTGGGTGTATAAATAAAATGGAAAATGCATATGCGGACAGATACTGCCGTATATGAGCATTTTTTAAATTTACACTCTTATTAAAACTTTAATGGTTTCTTTTGAAGAGTTTGTGTATTTGACAGTAAATTAGGGCAATGGAATAAAACTTAAATTATTCCCTTTGAAAAGCTAGTAAAACTGACAGTCAATTAATACAAATTTGATTACATATATTGTTTACTTTATTGTCTGCTTTTAAAATGAGTTGCCTTTAATTTAATATTTATAATTTTTGTTTTTTTTTTTTTAACAACTTGCCTTCAGATTCTTATTACCCATTTAATCTTAAAAACAATGTTTTAATTTAACCAACCAGTTCAATTGAACTTTGCATTGTTTCACCTCGGTACCTCTCTCGAAATTGCCACATTTTAGGAGCCCGACTTTGACCTGCACTTGAAACTGGGAAAACAAAGCAATCGACTGCGGACTTTTCCACCCTGCTATTCCCAAAGTCCTTCATTGGCGGCGACTGCTTTGCAATTTGCATGTTTACAAGTAAATTTCCAACATGAATATTTATTTATTCTACCATTGCAACGCAGCAAATGGAGTTGTTGTGTGCCGTGTTGTGGCAGGGCATTGTTTTTGTTGTTGTTAGCGGCTGTTGATGTTGATGGGTTGTATACCTTCGGCTAGGTGTTCGACATGGTCTTGTTGTTTTAATCCCTGTTCCAGCCACCCCCTCCGTCCCCCTCTTTTCGGAAATCCCATCCACCCACCATCCCCTTAACCCCTTGCTGGATTTTCAATAACAAGCTGCCATGGACTTTTGTTGTTGTTGGTCATTTTGTTGTTTGTTTTTAATTGTTTTGCATGTTTTCATTTCATTTGCAGTCGTCGTAGCAGTGGAAAAAAAGAAATAAAGCCGGGATGCGGGGCAATCGACACCGTCATTATGGCGAGAATAACAACAAATATTTATACTGATTTTTACGCAACTTGCACGCATAAAAGTGTATTTAAATTCGAAGATGTCAGGCGCAGACAGGCCAAATTGCATCGCCTATCTGGGCAGACATATTCTTTGATTTTCATTTCGATTTGATGTTTTTCAATTATGTTAAGGGTCCTGCCACTTCGGCATTTTCCACCACCCTGCCAGGCATCATTTGTTGCCCCGATTTTGTTTTTACTCTTAGCTGTTTTTTTTTTTTTTCTTTTTTTTCGGCAGTTTCCTTGTTTGTTTATTCTGCAATTGTCTGGACTGGCAGACAGACAATAGATTTCAAGGATGGTTTCATTTCAGCTGCGTCCATTTGTGTTTCATTTTCATTCTCCTTTTACGGCTTGCAATAATCATTTGGCGAGGAAAGGAAGCGGAAGTACAAAAGCGAGAGGCGAGAGAAGAAGGAAGTGTGTTCCAAAAGGAAAAGTGCCAAAGGAAGGACTCATAAAATTAGTAGCAATGACTTTAAAACGCCATGTTTTCCACAACTCCGCCCCCATTCATTGTATCCATTCTGCGCCTTTTTTTATGTTCTTTGATGATGATTTTTTCATTAGTTTCGCGCCGTTTGAGGCCGCCAATTAAAATAGAAAGAGACGGAGGGCAATATTGGAAAAATATCTCTACATTTCCACACACATTTATATAAAAAGTTATATCTATTCATGCACTAACAAAAATTGAATGCCTTATCTTTGATAGAACACAACTAGTTTAAACCAATGATAGGTTATTTTATTAAATGCTTTAATTGTTGCAATAAATCTCATAGAATTAAAAACGTGCATAGTTATATATAACGAAAGTTTTATTAGTATTTTGTTTTTATTTTTTCTGTGTACTAATAGACATGCCGTCATGATGATAAATGAGCTGTGCGTTAGCTGAAACAGAAATGCGTGCTAAATGTTATAATTGCCGCCATTCATTGGGGCTTTCGGATCGAGAGATGGTGAAGGGAAACGCGAGGCATGTGCAAAACATTTGAAACGCTTTGAATTAGTGGCAATTTCGTTAATTTAAAAGGTTAAACATGTTTGTTGAAAATATGAGCAGAAAACGAGCAGCATGACAAACATTAAATCGAAAGCCCTCGACATCTTTGGCTTTAAATTATGCCTGGCGAATAATTTAAAATTCAGCCATAAATTCACTCATAATTTGGCAATTTCCAGCACCCTTCCTATTGAGTTTCCTGCTCCGTTTGCACAAGCAAACTCAGCTTCAGGAAAATAAATGCCATTTTGGGTTTTTCCTCGGCTTTCTTCACATTTATCTGGCAGTGCGAAATTGCGCAACAAAAATATGTGTGTATCAAGAAAAAACAGAGCCAAAATAAACCCTTAAAAGAATAAATGGACGGGGGAACCCTGAAGAAATCGCATACAGAACAATAAGGACAAGGACGGTCGAACGGAACTCAAGAGCAGGCTGAATAATAGTCAATAAAATATTTGCACGAACCAAAAATCATTCAAGCGCATCTCGGGACTTTTATTTCAATACAATCCACAGATAGAAGCGAAGGGCTTAGCAAAAAAGTGGCCAAGGCATTGAAATAACATTTGGGCGAATACAAAAAAGTTCCTGAAGTGCAGCAGCATCATCATCCAGCAAAAGAAAGATGACAGCCAAGGAGAATTGAACAGAAATAAAAGCAAATACTTAGGTTGCCACAGGTCCTCCGCCGTCGAGGGAAAAGTGGCAGGGAAAAAAAGGGAAAACAATTTTCAATGTTTTTGCTTCTAGTTGAGGACGCCTTATTCAATGCCACGGGTGGGTGGCGAAGAGAACTCTTTGGGCCAAGTTACTTGAGACTTTCAGTCACAAAAATTTTTACCCATGACTGGACAACAGTGGCGGCAAAAAGTGTTCGACCTTTTCCCCAGCAAAACAAAGCAGGAAATGGCTGCCAGGATATTGACAATGGCAGAGGCGGCTGGGCCGGGGCGGGGGGCGTGGCCCAGTGGGCGGGATGCCGAGGGCGTGGCCGTGGCCGCTGTGCATCGAGCGTAAAACGCGACAACCCTGGCCGCTGAACAAAGCAAGATAAAAGATAAAAAGAGTTCCCAGCCATTTAAAGCGCATCTTAAGCCATGAAAAAGTTTCAAATTTACTCGCCCCCACTTGTGGATCCTTTACTTAGTGGAACAAACTTCCTCCTCCCCCGCCCATTTCGCCCCCCTTTAAGCACTTGAGCTACTTAAGGACATTTTAGTTAAATTTTATGTCGATTTCCGCTGGTCTCCGATTTCAGTTTGCCAATCTATTGAAATTGCGGTCGAGCATCGAGGGAAAAAAGGTCAAACCCATTAAATTTATAATGCGATTGAGGAAAAAAGAGCCAGTGAGGACGAAATGGGCGTGGCACTCTCACTGTGTGTGTGTGTGTGCGTAGGAGAGCCTTAAGTAGGTCAGTTTTGTCTGTCATAAAATGCAATTGGAGCGCATTAAAGTGCCCCGCGACTCGCAAGTGAAATGTCAAGTTGTAAATAAGCAGGACAGCAGAAGGGGGCGGCCAGATGGGCGTGGCAGGCCAAAAGGCTCCTGAAAGTCCTGCGAAGGGCGCTGTCATCAAGTGTCGAGATGACCCAAAAGGTTTGACGTTTGATATCTGCGATGAGGTCACTCGAGATGTTTCGGGAAAAAAAGGCTATTTAAGTTAAGAGGATAAGTTCTTTGAAAGGCTAAAAGATAATAACTTCGCCTGGTAAAACTATTAATAAATGGAGATTATTATAAAGCGAAAGGAAAAATATCTAGAAAATCTAACTGTTACCAAGAATTTACTCTTGTGTGATTTCACCATTTTTTCTGGTAGGGAGTACTTTTGTGTTTAAGGTTGAAAAATTCATTTTTTAAATTCCCAAAAATCTAGACAGATTCAAAGAACCAAGTGCTTCCCAGATATTCGCTGTAAAGCCATTCGAATCAGTTATCTGCTGGCTGTCCACACTATCTGCACTTACATTTCCCGACACTTTCGGGCCTTTGTTACTATGCAAATGGCTAAACATTTTGGCTTAAACGCTTTGTTACGACCTCCGCCGAATAGCATCGCGTCTCTGGTCTAGACGTCTGTTCAGCCACTTCAATTTGGAATACCGAACCGAAAGAGCGGCGAATACTGACAAAGGGGGCGTGGCCCCAGCCCCTTGAGTTGCGATTACGGCCATGATCCGCCCGGTCTGGGCAACAACATCCTCATAATTGATATTCATATGCAGCGCGGATGCCGTTTGCTTGCATCTCATTAGTGGCAGTCGACTGGATGCCGCATTTATCCTTATAGGAGTATGTATGGTACATACCTGGCTCATATAAATAAGCACATAATCAGGCGACAAACGCGGCTGTTGGCTGCCACGTGCATAAATAAATAAATAATTTGCAACAATTACCATAACTCGGGCTGACATCTCCACTAGGCAACGACGAGCGGGCAGACCTTCGGCCACATTGCGCCAAAGTGTTATGACTAACTTGGCTCTTTCCTGCGAATGGAAGCTGGGAGCTAAAAACTGAAACTGAGACTCAGGCTGAGACTGAGGCTTGTGGCTGATGATGATGATGTCAGTCGCCAGCAGCAGCAGCAGCTACACCAGTCAATAAACATAAATATCGGACTGAAGATGCTCGTCGTGGAGCATCGTTAAGTGTTTGGCTTTATGGCCGAAACGGGCGAGAGACTTCGCGGCCCGACTTGGACTTTAATTAGCGCCTGGCCTGACAATTAAATAATATTTTCGCCAACTCACAGCTCACAGCTCATCTCCACTCTCTCCTTATCTGTGAAGCCGCCGACTTGTTAACTCGCTGCCTGACAGTCTGCCAACAAGTTTTAATTACAAGCCAAACGACAGAGAAAAATAAAAATAAAAAAAACACTGGAAAAAGAAGAGTAGGAAACGAGTGAATAATGTTGCCTAGGCTTGCAGGTACCCTGCCCCAATTTATTATAAAAATTGTAAATAGAAATTTTATTTGACAGGCTTAAAAATTTTACTTATACTTTTATATGACTTTTCTTTATCTTTATTTAAACTGACAAACCAAGTACTACAATTAATTTAATGTCCAACTAAAATATGAATGTATAAATAAATGTAAACCAATGGCAGTGGCTTAAAAATTTGGCTCCAGGCTTTACTGAGTTTAATGGTATCGTTAAAATTATTATAAAAGTGAGCAAATAGAAATAAAATTACTAATTAATAACTCCGAACACTGTAGTTAACAATTTATGTTCAACTAAATTCAACTATTTATGGCTCACAATCAATGACAGCCTCGTCATGCCCCGTATTACCCACTTGATCATCAGGTCTGAATAAAAAGTGTCTCCCGGGCAGTTAGTTTTTGATAGTCACTGGCTTGTTTTAATGACTCCTCCTGGATTCCAGCAGCATCACAACTTTTTTACGGCTGTATGCAGATATTTTTTCAAAACATTTTATGGTCTGCGATTGTTATCCGTCTGCTGGTCGGTCGGTAGTCGGTTTTGCAAAGCTTTTGTTCCACTTTTATGGCTGTCTAGCCCTATATATCTACACCCCCTTTTGGGCCAAGTTTCCCTTACTGGGCAGTCCGTCTTCATTGTGGTTGACACTTTTTTGATTTGTCGCTAATTTGAATTGGAAAATGAATCGAACGAGGCAAACGGCAGCCCTTTTATTTATTTATTTATTAATGCCATTCAAAGAATTTATGACAGTTCAGGCGTTGTAAAATTTTCTGGTTTCGCTTTGTTATACCCTTGCAGAGCAAAGGGTATTATAATTTTGGCCAGAAGTTTGCAACGCAGTGAAGGAGACACCTCAGACCCCATAAAGTATATATATTCTTGATCAGCATCACCTTCTGAGTCGAAATACGTCTGTACGTCTGTCCGTCTGTCCGTCTGTCCGTCTGTCCGTCTGTCCGTCTGTCCGTTTCTGCCCAAACTAGTCTCTCAGTTTTGAAGCTATCTTGCTGAAACTTTCCCAAAAGTTGTGTAGCTATTGCACGCAGTATATAAGTCGGAACGAGCCGGATCGGCCGACTATATCGGATAGCTCCCATACGAGAGATTGAAAAATAAAAATCTCATTCCGTTGTTTTTGATCAGATCGACTTGATTTCTTCCAGATGTCGTTTTCTAATCACTATATAATTTCGGATTAAATTTTATTAAAATCGGATAACTCTATCATATAGCTGCCATACAAAAGATCGAAAAATATATATATAAATAATGGAAAAAAATTATAACGCCGTTGTTTTAAATCCCAAGAGCATGATTTTCAAAACATGGAGTTTCTTAATAACCCTTAATTTAAGAAAAAAATTTCATTAAAATCCGGCAACGTTATTATATAGCTGCCATAGGAGCGATCGAAAAATCTATATAGAAATACGGGAAATAAAATTATAACATCGTTGTTTTTCATCAGACAAGCATGATTTTTAGAATATAGAGTTCTATAATTACTCTTGAATTACATATTAAATTTCATCAAAATCGGACAAATATATCATATAGCTGCCATACGAACAATAGTCGAAAATATGGAAAATGAATAGAAAAATAGTAATAGTTTCGATGTTGTTTAGCCCTTATAGATTTTGATCGACATATTTGATGACTGCAAGGGTATATAAGCTTCGGCTTGCCGAAGCTAGCTTCCTTTCTTGTTTTTATTCTCGTTTCGGGTGTCGATTGGTCAACTGACACATTGACTTGCATTTTGTCAATAGCGTTTTGTCTCGTTTGATTCGATTTGATGAAGGTCGTTTCTATTAGCGCCCATAAAATAACGGAAGTTTGTATCACATTCGACCTTCACAGCTTTGATTTGGGCAGATATTCTATAGCTATAAATATTTTTTACAACAAGGGAAATGTGAAGGTTAGCCCCTGAAAAGGTTCAATTTAAAATGAAATTGTGTAAAAAAAGTTTGGATAATTCATGCGCATTAAATACAACATTCTACAAATTGAACATGTGTATCTAAAACATAATGATGAGTAAATATATTATTCAGGGATAAAACGATGTAGCAATTCACAAAATGTGTGAACATTTATTTTTAGCTAACCATTTGTAGGGCTTAAAGAGCAAAATTCGCGTTGTGTTAATGCGAAACACACCTGCCCATTGCACGATTTCATAATGTTAGGGGTTAGTTATAATCCACCCATTCGATATTCAAGCCCATTCTGTATTCTTCCACCCTGGCCAATTATTTTAACCACCTTTTGCTGGCCTCGCCAATTAGCTGACCGAACCTGAACCCAATGCGAAGTTTGTTTTATCGAGTATCTGGAGTGGAAAACACTCAAACACTCGATGCAATTTAAGCAAATATATGCAGACACTGCCTCGAAAAAGAACACACACACACGCCCATTTGGCTGGGAGGGGGGCGTGGCAAAAAGGGGCGGTGGTAAGCGATAGCCCAGACAGATACTTTATGCCGTACGTGCCAAACAAAACTCCGCACAGCCACTGACCCATCCAGTTATTGAAATGCAAAAGCCAAAAAGGAAAATTGCAGTAGCGAAGACAATTTTCCTGGCACGCAAGGAAAGGGAGGAGAAGGAGGAGGGGGAGGGGGTAGGGAGAAAATGCAGACGAGGAACATGAACGGACCCATGTGTGTGCATGACTTGGGAGACCCGCGATCCTGAACCAAACCGAACTGAACCTGGTCCAGGATTGGATTTCTAATGTGCATTCGTTGTCTGCCGTCAATCCATTAAAAATCGCACCGGCGACAACAACAAATGCGGCACGTACGGTTTTATTTCTCTGGACTGGACTTCTCGGTTCTCGGTTCTCGGTAGATAACATTTGTATTTAAAAGACACTTTACGGATTGCTTTTGAGCGCCGGCGAACCGGTCGCTCCATCTCATAGCTCATGGCTCTCCTCTGTGGTGCAGCCATTTGTAGTTTATCGGAGGCGAATCTTGAAGTACCGCCCGGTACAAGCCGCATGTCAAAATGTCAATTTTTGTTTCGCTCTCTTTTTTTCCCCCCCGCCCCTTTGGTAGCTGTGTTTGCTGTGTGGCACGTCCTCTGTGGCCTCTTGTGGCATGCAAAATTGCCACATGTTGCGTAAACTAGTTTCGTGAGTCGTGAGATATATCACCTGAGTAGCAGCGCTCTAACTGCACTTGCAGAATATATTTGTATATATACTTTTTTTCTAGCGATCTCAGGCATTCGGGCTGTCATGTCCCCACTTTTCCGAAATGTGTTTGCTATGATCGGTGGCTTGAATGGCCGACAACGGTGCGGACTACCAGGGCATAGAGTATGTGGTCTATCCCCTGGAAAACGTGTTCGACAACAGCCTTGGACGTCTGAGATGCCATTAGATGGCTGGGAATTGGTTTGGAATTGAGTGTCTGTCTGAACTTACCCTTATTTATGCGGCAGGTTTTTCGGTTAATGTGGCAAGATTTTTGTTACCTGTAAAAATGAGAAATGGAATAAGAAAACGAATTAGAAATATTTTCATACCTAGCATTGAATTTATGTTGTTAATATTTTAGTTATGAAAGAGGTATAATAAAGTAATTCAAACTAAGTGACTGCTGTTTAACCAAAAAAGTGAGGAAAATCTTAACCCATTCAAGTTGGTTTAAGCACTTGCTTATGGCCACAATCCCTTCTGGGAATGCCACCCACCACGATTACTTTTCTATTCTGGGCCAATCCGTTGACGACTTCGTTGATTACCCCAGAAGCAAAAGCAAATAAACTTTATGGCCAAATGGCCGTGTGCCGTTTGAGAGTTTCTGGCAGTTTTTTGAGCATTAATGCGAAGTTTATTTCTTCTTCGTTTCTGCGGGCATAATTAAGCGCACTTTTAAATATTTCAACCTATGTTGTGTGTGTTTCTAAATCGTAAAAAGAACTGGAGTACCGCCGGGGTCATAAAACCAACGACTTTTGGCCCACCCAAGATGATGAACTGGAAAACTTTTGCATGAGTTGCTTGATGCGTGTGCCAAAAAAACGGAAAAGTATGAAAAGCAAAGAAAAAAGGTCAACAATTTTATAGCCATTTGCCGCTTAGGTTTCTAGGTGTTAAATAATAAATACGCCCAGGAATCGCTCGCTCCCAGTCGATAAAAGCGGGCGTCTTGGCGGCCCAAGAGTTGCGTGCTCCGACTTATCGTGCTTACGGTTCACTTGGTCTATATAAATCCCACCTTTCCACCCAGTCCGCTGCATGATGACATTTTAATAGCTAGCCCAATCCTCAAGGATGGCAAAAAGAAAAAAAAAAGAGCAAGCCCCCAAAAGCAATAAGAGCATTTTCCGTCCTTTTACGAGCACTCATAAAACATTGAAACAATGACGAAAGCCCAACACTTTTCCTGTTGGTTTTTTCCTCCAGGCGTGCTTGCCACCTTATGCATGTATGTGCCCCATGGAACCATAAACAAATTCCCCATTAATTGCTTAATTCCGCTAGCCCCTCATCGAGCCGCTTCACCACAGTTCAGCTTTAAAGATTCTGAACAAAAGCAATTTAAGGCCAGGCCACAAGCAAAAAGGTTGGAGGAGGGAAAGAAAACCTTTTTCTACAGACTAAACTAATTTAATTAGTTCAGGTTTGGGAGGTAGTAAGCTATTTAGTCCCTGTCTGGGTTCCTTTGGTTAGTTAGACGCGCCAAATGAAATCAGACTTCGAGCGTTACAATGTTTAATAATTCCCAGCACAAACGGCAGACACAAAGCGAAGGCAAAAGGTGTGCGAAATATAGATAGAAAAAAATATAGAATTTAATTTCGGGATATAATATATTTGTTAGAGAATTAAATAATAGTTAAGGTACGGAATTCGTTTATAGAAAATATCAAGTATCATGTTAAAAGGAATATTTAAAATTGTTTTGCTACGGTTTTGTTATTATTTATTATTTAATGACTTTTTATTTGTTGTTTTCTTGTACTTAAAAAAATTGTATATTATAATCTTTACTAGACATCGACTTCCGCTTCTCTCAATCCTAAGTACTAATCCGTACAATCAGCAAAAAAAAACGATTAGGCTCTGCTGACTAGCTTTTGTTTATGTCGCGCACCTTCACCTTCGAAGACCCCATGAGGAAGTAAGTTTTGTTTTCGTACATGTCATTGACTCACACCCGTCGACAGAAAGAGATAGCGCTAGAGTGCGGGAGTGAAAGAGAAACATAAAATTTGCGGCAATTTCTAGGGCGTCGTCATTGTCGTTTTGTAGGTGACTTTGGCTGTGCGGCATATAAATAAATATTATATTACCCTCGGCGAGGAGGAAACCTTAGACCCGCGTCGCAAATGTGGCAGGCTTTCTTCCCCCTCGCCGTGTGTCGCCCTTTTGTTTGCCTGCTGAGTTGTTAATTAAATATTTACTCTGCTTATTTGCAAAATGAATAATTTCAGCATTTTATTTCACATGGCACATTGTCTGTGTCTCCCTCTAACTTCTAGGGATTTCTTGCTCATGCCCTAACCTTTTAGCACATTTACGCTTGACTTCGGAGACACTTTAAGTTCGCCTTTGGCTTCAGCTTTAATTGCCTTTATTGCAGACTTTAAGTACATGGAGAAAAATTAGTTGAAAGTTCGAAGGGAAATTTCCAGCACATTTACACATTTAAATATATCAGCTTTTTAGATTAGATTTTTAGTAAATGCTTTCATTTTAAAACAAGACATTAGAACAAAGGAACCTAAATAAAATATTCCCATTTTTTTGCTGTACAGAAATGAATTCCCAAGTATAGTCACAATTTAACGGTTAGAAACAACTAGTATAACTGACTTAAGTTAGTCATTTCTCAAGCTGAGCTCACCCATCCACAAGTTACATCATTCATATTCTCTCACAACCTTCTAGCGCAGAAAAATCCGAGTCGCATTTGCATTTAACTTTTCGTTTTTACTTCTCACATATTTATTTACTTTATTTACTTTTAAAGCGTTTTGCTACGCTTCACATTTACGTGTTGATTGCTCGCTGTGGAGCACACAAAAGCGAAACTTGTTTCGCAAAATGCCATTCAAATAGTCTGAACCGTCGTAGTCTGAATCTTGGCCCAACTAATGACTTCATTCTGTTGTTGTTTCTCCTCTGCCGTCAGTCAAGGTGAGTCGGACGAATTTCAAATATTTCAACAGCTGAAGTTCCGCGCTGGATTTGGAGTTTACCCCAGAGAACTTTGCATAATTGATTAATAATTTTGCCGGACAGGTGGCGTCCCCCGAGCGACCACGCCCCCTTTGAAAAGGAGACCCCCTGGCCGACAATCGTTAAGTATTCAAATGAACTAAACTACAGACCGCCCTAACCCATTAATTAGCCCGGCTTGAGCACACATTAGATAAATGTTGTGAAACTTGATTAAAAGCAAACAGTTCGAGTTTGGTTACGGAAAAAATTTCACTCTCCCCGCTTTAAAGGGTTCCACACGGATAGATAATGCTGATTGTGGAAACGGGGGAAAATATAGAAAAAGGGTGAAAGGTTCGGGGGACCACGCCCCTCTCGCCCACAAACTTATTATTGATTTTACTCACATTCGAGTTTTGCTGATTTGTTGTTCATTTTGTTTGCTTGGTCTGGGCTGTGGATGTTTGTTTGTTTGTTTGTTGATTTTCTGTTTGCTTGACTCGAAAATTATTTGGGTTAAACCAACAGCAACTAGCAATCAATGCAATAGTCGATGCCCAGAGACAAGACTTCAAATGCGATTGAAGTACGGGTATTTTCAGAAATTGCTTCCTGCTACGAAAGTTTCTTTCATAAAATTATGAAATTCAAAGTTTTATTGAGGAAGTGCAAAGTTGAAAACTTGGATCAGTGACTGTATGCAAATTACGACGAATAGGTGTGCTTAATAATAATGGACTTGAGGTTTATTATTGTAGACTTTAACTTTCGTACTTAAAAAAAATTCAGTTTTAAATTTTTCTTTTGTACCTAAGTACAGACTAAACTTAAATTTTCTTCAAGTTAAAGTTTGCCTTGATAAATTGCTTTTCCCCAACTTGTATAGTTTCTGATAATCTCATTAATTCGCCATCAAACACCTGACTAATCCAATAAGCTGTTCAACTTTTCAGGCCCAACTTTAACCGCAGAAACTTGAGCAGAAAACAAGTTAATTTGTCGCAGCGAGCGAACTAGCTTATAGGTAAACAACGAACATGTCAACAAAACTTAACAGAAATTAACTGGGTAAACACGAAAAGAACCGGAAAATACTTGCTTAATTAACTGGCAAAAACTTTCGGGACAAAGGACACATCCAGGGGGAAAGTGTGGGCGTGGGAACCCTTTTATTAAAAGGATAAATTCTCGCAACGTGGCGTATGCGCAATTAACATTTATGGCAATTAATTATACGATTATGCATACGCCGTGTGGGACACCGCCTGGCATCAACATAAGCAGCCATGTCTATTCTGTTCTCCGTTCTGCCCCCTAATGAAGGCATCAAAACCGAAGGCGACAAAATGCTTACCGCCGTCTTCTTTTTGCCACCACAACTTCGGTAAGCTATAATTATGGGTAATCAAACAGTTTTATTTGATGCCCTGACTAATGATCTTTTGTCTAGGCTTCGGCTTCGGCTTTGGCAAGGTTGAAACCCTAAACGAGCCGTTCAGCGACTTGAGACTTTAATTAATCGTTGTATCGCCCATCACCTCTGATTAGCCGACCAGACCGAAAACACTGCCCTCCAGGCCACTCAATCTCGTTAATTGATATGCAAAATCAAATGGCCACTAAATGGTGCGAACCGAAGAATTACGCCAAAGTGCTGCTCCAGGTGAAGGTTTCAATGGTTTTCCAAGGAATCAGGTTAGAGTTCGTTGAACTAAAAGACATGAGCAGTGTCATAAACTTAAGGTATTACAAATCAAACAGCTTTTTGCACCAAAAACCATTTCATTGACACTCATATTTCTGTGTATATTTGTCATAGAAATATCTAACACATTTTATGTAAGCCAGCTTAGGAATTTCCCTTTACATCTGACTGCATTTATTTGCCATAATTCTAATACCCGTATAATTTGCATTTAGAACTTCTAGAACACACAAAATAGAAAAGAAAACCTTTTCATTATCACATATATTTTGCAATGTCTGTTCAGCCCCCTCCACACCTTGATGCCCCATTTCAACCAATTTGTTTTGACATATTTTTGCTCGACTAGGCAGAATCGTTCAAAACACCCAATGAGAAGGAGAGCAAAAATACAATGGAAGTCTGAGAGGAGATACACGGGGCAAACAGAGATACAGATAGAAAGCTAAATCATTTCGTTGAGAACATTTTTACAGATTGCGGTTGGGGTTTTCTTCTTGCGTCGCCTTCTGACGTGCTGATAAAGCAAATTTCGGACTGCTTCTGCCCTGGGAGTATCAATAAACCCATAAATTTAAAAGAGCACCACACAAAACAAAT